TGGCGGTAAGATCATCTCTCTACGATTAATATTGGCGAAGTTACGATACAATAAAGTTTTAAGTATAATTCTGGCTAAAATTATGTTAATTTTTGGCCGGAATTATGACATACAAATATAAGAAATTTTTTATATAGTCACATCTCTTTATAATCACCAAATATGGACTGTCCCAAATGTGTGACTATAAAGAGAGTTGACTGTACATTAAAACTTGATTCTATTGAGTACAGTATAATTAGCAGCATGTATCACAGATACTCAATTACTTTATCGCTAAAATATGAAAAAGAGCAATCAAGTTCACTTTCACTAGTATACATAAGCATTGTAATAACTGAGAATATAATAAAATAGAATATAGATAAATAATTATCTGATAGATAAATAATTAGCCGATGGATAAATAATTAGCTGACAGGTAAATATTTATAGTTTAGTTTAGTCACGAAATAGTCATAAGATAATATATCTTTTATTTTCTTAAATTTTTATTAGAAAAAGATAATAAATAGTAGAAATATTTTTCTTAAAATGTATAAATATAAGTAGATTTCGTTGGAAATTCCGCAGTTCGACTTTGATAAATAAAAAATTTTAGTTCGCCATTAATAACAACTAACATACTCTTTAGCCTTTTCTTATGAGTAAAAGTGCATAATTGGGAAAAATAAATTAATATGAAAATTATTAAATTTGGGGAAATTATCGCAAATTAAAATTTGGGTAAAAAATGATATTTTGTAATTAATTTTATTTATTTTTTTTTATTTATTTTAAACCAGAGATATTATTCAAATTCAATACGTCAGTGACAACATACGATAATTAATTTTATCTTATAGGTGGCATGTTACATTATGGTGAATGCTTCGAGAAGTTAAAAAATTGTTGTCTTTATACAAAATCTGAATAAAAAAAATAAAAGAAAGTTTATGAAATTATAAATAGAAATTGAGAAAAATATTACTATATATGAAAAAGGATATAGTAAAAGAAAATTATATAAGAAAAATGTTACTATATATGAAAAAGGATATAGTAAAAGAAAATATATAAGAAATATTAAAATATTATTGAATAATATATGAGAAATAAAATTAAATAAAAATATGTGATATATTGAAAAAGTATATATCAGAAAGATTAATGAGATATTCAAGATAATAATGAAAATAAAATTTATAATGAGAAAGAATTTTACATATTATAAAAAGTTAATAAATGATTGAAAAATTTAAAAATATTATGTGAAAAGAAATTATTAGTAACAAACCTGTAAACTACTATACTTCTATAAAGAGGGTAAAGGCAAGTCTGGTATAAGTTACTAAATGAAAAAGAAAATTTAATAATATTAGTAAATATAAGAAATATTATTATTTGATATATGAGAAATAATTTTATTACAATAAAAGAATTATAAAATGATGTGAAATATTATAAAAGATAATAATGAATTATATGAAATAAAATAACATAATAATGATGTAATATAGAATAAAAAGAAAATTGCATAAGCATATTACGTAAACAGTATAAAACGTAATAAAAAGATAATAAAATATTTAATCAGAAAGAGAGAACATGAGTTCAGTTATAGAAATGAATAAATAAAATAAGAATTATACTGCAACAAGTCATGTGTTAAGGTGTAGTAAAAATCACATGATTAAAACGTAGTAGAAAATGAAATGTTACATAAGTCACGAGAGTAGTACAAGTTAGAGATGCGATCTGGATGAAATTTTACAATCTGTGATCCGCACGGATCAATCCGGATTATCATAGGATTAAATTCGGATAATCCGGATTAACTTCAAATTTTGGGTATCTCAGCATCCAACGATCGTATAGAGATGCACTATAGCTCATTCGAATCGTTGCATTGAGACGATTCGAATGAGCTATAGTACATCTCTGTACGATCACTGGATGCCGAGATAATTGGCAAAACGTGAAACATCAGCATTTTTATTTTACGATCATGCAAAATTTTACATTTTGCCGAATATCTCGGCATCTAGTAATCGTATAGAGATGCACAATAGCTCATTCGAATCGTCTCAGTACAACGATTCGAATGAGCTATTGTGCATCCCTGTACGATCGTTAAAAAAAATTTTATTAAAATTGCTTTATTTTTCATAAAATTAAATGAGAGCTGAAATTTGATAAAATTGCGGGCAAATTTGCCCGCAGTTGCTTACAGTTTAAGGGATAAGATAATAAACGAAAAATAAAATAATATGAAATAAATTTGAATAAAAATCTTTGAAAGTTAATATAAGAAAAAGATTAAAGTTATTAAAAATTTAATTTTGATATAAAACTGTGAGAACCCTAGTGTAAATAAGAGTACACTGGAAGGATCCAGTATAAATAAGCCTTTATTTTATTAGTGATCATATTAGTCTGATACTGGGCGGCCCCAGTATAAAGAATGCCTAGCTTTGATCACAGTTACTTTGCGCAAAATATAGAGATTTTATAAATAAAATCGTGATTATAGATTATATTATAGAATATATAGAAAAATTATAGAAATCAAAGCAAATATTAGAATTTAAATTATATGATAAAGAAATAAAAGATAAGATAGTAATTTAAAATGATATTAAATTAATGATAAATTTTATAAAATATAAATAAAAGTGAAATTGTGAAATATTTAAATAGATAAAAAAATGTCTGATATATATGATCTGTCTCTTATACACATCTAGATGTGTATAAGAGACAGATATATGATAAATAGGACCCCGGATATCTAATATAAAGGTCATAATGGACTTTTGGCCAAAAACACCCCTTTTTGCTGAAACTCAAAAAATCGTTTTTTGTAAATATCTCAGCATCCAGTAAT